CCCATGCTTTAAACCACCAAAGGGGAAATATGGGGGATCTTGTGTGTTGAAAGTAGATATGAGTAAAGCCTATGATCGAGTGGAGTGGGGTTTTTTAGGGCAGATTATGGGGAAAATGGGCTTTAGTGACCAGTGGATTGAGTTGATGAGGGAATGCGTTTCTGCTGTCCAGTATAAGATTTTAGTGGATGGTAGGGAATGGAGGCCAGTGAATCCAGCCAGGGGTTTTAGATAGGGGGATCCTTTGTCACCGTGTCTGTTTATTGTGGTAGCTAAGAGTTTGAGTGCTACCAGGGTTCAGGAGGAGGTTGGGGGGGGGGGGGGGGGGGGAATTCACGGGGTATGTGTGGCTCGTAATGCTCCTTCTATATCACATCTTTTCTTCGTCGATGATTGTTTGGTTTTCTTTTGGGCAAACAACCTTGAGGTGGGAATTTTAAAAGAAACTCTTACCGAGTATGGGGTTGCCAGTGGTCAACAAGTAAATTTTGATAAAACCTTGATTGTTTTTGGGAGGAGTGTGTATATGGAGGATAATGAGGTTGTTTGTGAATTGCTGGGGCTGATCGAATAATAGGGTAGGGGAACTTATTTGGGGCTTCCAGGTTGTGTGGGGCGGAGGAAAAAAGAAATTATAGGGTTCATTCGTGACAAGGTCCGAGCTAGAATTTTGCATTGGAGTAACCGCTTTTTTGTCAAGGGCATGGAGGGAGGTTCTTTTAAAAACCATTCTCCAAAGTATCCCAAATTATGCTATGAATGTTTTTTTTTTTTTTGCCTAAGGGTCTTTGTGATGATATTGAAAAACTTATGAACTCTTTTTGGTGGAGGTGTGAGGATAGAGGTGGAAAGGGTATTCAGTGGAGTACTTGGGGTGATTTGTATAAGCCGAAAAAGTATGGGGGGATGGAGTTTAGGAGAGTAAGGGATATGAATGTGGCGATGTTGGGAAAGTAGGGGTAGAATTTCATAACAAAGCGGGATTCCTTGATGACAAAGGTGTTTAAGGCGAGATACTTTCCTCATTGCTCTTTCTTGGACGCGGGGCGGGATCAAATTTGCCATTTGTTTGGCTAGTATTAGGGAGTCCGAGCGTTTGTTGCATGGGGGGGGGGGGGGGGGGGGGCTAGATGGAGGATTGGAAATGGTAAGATGGTGAGGGTGTGGGGGGATTCTTGGCTCCCGGATTGTCACAACCCATGTATTACGGCCCCGGTACCTGAATATTTAGATGATCCTGTGGTGAAGTCTCTTCTTTGTACGGATACTACCAAATGGGATGATGAGTTACCAAGGGATATTTTTAATCAAAAGGATGTGATTCAAATTATGAGTGTCCCTCTCTCTACTGAAACTACCGTTGACTCTTTGTACTAGAGAGGGGAGGAAAATGGTTTGTACTCGGTAAAAAGCGCATACAAAATGCTCTTAGAAAATTTGGAAAATGAGAGCATTATGCAGTGGACTGCTGTTTGGAAATTGAATATTTCCCCAAAAATTAAATGTTTTTTTGGGCCTTATGTACGTTGTGAATTTCAACTAAAGATGCCTTGACTATTAAACAGGTGGTATGATATCCTGTGTGCCCGTTATGTGGGAATGAGGCGGAAACAACAGTACATTTATTTGCAAATTGTCACTTTGTGCGTTCATGTTGGAGTGTGATTGATCCCAGCTGGAGAATTGGTTCAGGGGATTCTATAAGCACCTGGGTGGACAAAATATGGTGCATGTTGGATACCGGTATGGTGGAGAAGGTCGTTGCAGTATGTTGGGCTTTGTGGAATAATCGAAACTTGATGGTATGGAGGCAGCAGTGCACAGAGTCAGGAGCTTTGGTGGCCATGGCATTACACTATCTCCACGCGTGGCAGTCAGCCAATATGGCAACCCCAGGTCTGGTTTTAAATCAAAACCCTCCAGTTCACTCTGCTGATTGGAGCCGTCCCCCAGCTGGCTTCTTAAAGATCAATATCGACGTAGCAATGGACAAGGTGGCTAAACGAATGGGCTTTGGTTGGATAACCTGTGACGACCATGGTATAGTGCAGGCAATAGTTCTTTCTGTCAGTGACGGGCTCTACTCTGTTCGTGAGGTGAAGGCAATCAGGGCTTGAGAGGCATTGAGTTGGATTAAAACGAAAGGATGGAGCCGGGTTATTCTGGAAACTGATGCACATGTGGTGACAAATGATGTTATTGGTCGACCAAATGCTACTCCGTTTGGTGTTATTATTGATGATATTCGATTGCTTTTGTTGCAGCTCCCCTTGGTTCGGTTATCGTATGCTAGGTGTCGTGTGAACATGCCGACTCATGTTTTAGCTAGACAAGTTTTAGGCTCTCTTGGGGTGGGGATAGTTGAGTTTATTCCTCGAATTATTTCTCCATATGTATTTGCAAACTATCAGCTGAGTTATTAATGCATCCCGTTCTTTGTTTTTCAAAACAATAACAACATATTTTGTTTACGGAATATGCCTCAGGCCTAGTCTTATCATTTTATTGGCCTGGGGCATGTCAAAAAAAATAGGCCCTATATGAACTTAACATGTATTTTTATACCTAAAATTTAAATAAATCAATACTTTTATTTAAAAAAAGAAAAAGAAATTCTCATTTTTTACTTCCCGCCCAAACACTTAATAATAATAAGGTTATCAGTAAAAAAAAAAAAGAAAAAAAAAAAAAGAATCTGTAATTCGAGAAGCCATAATGTGCTAAAATTATCCACTTCTTGTGACAATAAAAATCACAAACCTGACACAGTGCACAAATACGAGATAACACAATAGCCCAAAAATAAATGTCAACACAAGAGACACACGATTTACGTGGAAAACCTAAAGTTGGGAAAAAATCACGGGACCACCATAACAAAAATATTCCACTAAAACAAATCTTAGGTACAAAGTTTCATGCTACCACACGAGCCAAACATCAAAAAAATCATCAAATACAAAAGCTCTAGGCCAACGACTTCTATTATGTTCCACATGCCTAAAAAGGAATATTAACTCATACTTAAAAATATTCAACCACCACGAGCAATGTGAAAAAGAATACAGATACTACGAGAATACCCAAATAGTGATGTCAATACGGGCTGGCGGGCCGGGGCAGGCCAAAGCTCGGCGGGTCGCGGGCCTAAACGGGGCGGGCTAAAAAAGCCCGCTCCTAAACGGTCCTGGGTTTGGCAGGCCCGGACCGCCTCGCTAGTGGCCTGCGGGCTAGGCGGGCCCCCGCCCAAACCCCCTATTTAAAAAAAAAACTGTGAATCAAACATCAAACTAATTAAAATAAATTGATACATAAGTTATAACTCACATAAAACATAATAATCAAACATTAAATATTACATAAAGTCCAAAGTTCATCAAACATCAAACTAGTCACAACTTTAAAGTCCAAACATTACACATACCAATAATTTTAAAGTGCATATTTTATCTAAAAATATTTTTTATAAAATAAAATAAAATAATGGCGGGTAGCCCGCGGGCTTGGCGGGGCGGGCCTGGCGGGCAGCGGGCCTAAACGGGGCGGGCCAAAAAAGCCCGCTCCTAAACGGTCCTGTATTTTATAAACCCGCCCCCTACCAAAGTAGGGGCGGGGCGGGCCGGCCCGGCGGGCTAAGCCCGTTTTGACGGCTCTATACTCAAACGATACTTGGAAAAAACAAACTGAGCTCTCAAAAGTATTTGATGAAGATACCACCCAAGAACTTCGATAAACTCACGGAAAAACCAACAAACATGCGACAAAGGATAAACCCCGCCAAACACGCTGTTGCCGAACTACAAAAGGAGATAAAGAAACAAACAAAAGAAATCTTTATTTTATTTCACTGCCTCGCCACACGTCTGCCTTTCCTCTCTGCCACATCAACATATATATATATATATATATATATATATATATATATATATATATATATATATATATATATAGAATCCGGATCAGGTGAGGACCTAATCTTAGGTGAGGACGTGAGGACTAATCTTGTGCGTTTGTTTTTTTATTTGGATGGTCCAGATTTGAGTTCTTGAGATGACATGGATTGATCTTTTTTGTTAAAGTGGGATAATAGTGTCTTTTTCTATTTTTTTAAGTGTGAACGCATGTATAATCCTTGGCCAAATTGGTTTCCTATTTTCTTGGATCATCACCGTTGCAATTTGGAGCCGCGATTTCTTCATCATTGATTGAGTGTTCGCCCATGCAAACTAATCAGTATTTTTTATTTTTTTTTTTTGCTTGTTCTTTTGAGTATAATATTGTCTATATTTGGATTGTCGTTTATATGTATAAATGCCTGGGTAGTATGATTGTGCATTCGTGTGTGCTGATTGTGCAACCTAGTGTTGTAAGTTGTGCACTATAGGCTAGGGAGTTGTGCATTATAGCACATAGTTCAATGCATCGTAGAACATTGGATGTTCACTGTATGAATTTTTGGCGGGGTTTGAATGCACAATAATGAAGTTATTGATGCACAACACTCAGTATAGGAATACACAACATTTTGTATAGGAATGCACATCTTTTAATAAGACTGATTTACCCTAAATTTATATATTTTAATATTTTAAAGGGATTTGTTTTCTTAATCCGTGTAATTTATTTCTTTTAATCTCAATCATACATCATTCTGATTTAATGGTCTAGATTAGTCCTCACGTCCTCACCTAAGATTAGGTCCTCACCTGATCCGGACCCTATATATATATATATATATATATATATATATATATATATATATATATATATATATATATATATATATTGGAATGAAACAAAAACAAGGAAATTAGTTTCCTTGAAGAGTGAAGCAAAAGAAGGAAAATGGTTTCATTTTCTCAACTTAGCAAACAAAGCCTGCCTACTATCGCCTCACTTTTTGTTTCCATAATCCTTAATTATATATATTATTATATTATTATTATATTATTATTATATAATTATATAATAATAATAATAATAATAATAATAATCTTGCTATGTTGGGGAAGCAGGCATGGCGCTTTCTCACAAAGCCAGAGTCTCTAGCTGCAAAATTATATAAGGCAAGGTATTATCCTAAAACTGATTTTATAGATGCCACTGTGGGAAATAACCCAAGTTATTGTTGGAGGAGTATTATGGCTGCCCATGGACTTGTTTGTGGAGGTATAAGGAGGAGGATTGGTAATGGAGAGTCAACATTGATAGGGAAGGACCCTTGGCTTTTGGATTTGGATTACAAAATCCATACTGTTTTACCACATAATATTTATGAAGCAGGGGTGTCATGTTTGATTGATCAGGATACTCGTACTTGGGACCTGGATATTTTGAATGATATTTTTGACCCGATCGATGTGAACCGAATCCGCAGGGTGCTTGTTTGTCTGGGCTATGAGGATTCATGGTATTGGTATAAGGAGCATAATGGGTCATATTCTGTCAAAAGTGCGTATCGTTCTGTTGTGGGGGAGATACAAAATAATACTGGATTTAATAGATGGAATGCATTGTGGAAGTTGAATGTGCCGCCTCGATGGAAAACTTTTTTGTGGAGAGCCATAAGTGGAATTTTGCCAACTACATCTGCCTTGGCAAGTAGAAGAGTGGATGTGTCTTTAGCCTGCCCAATGTGTCTTGATTTTAACGAAGATATTATGCATTGCTTGATTGAATGCCAATATGCTTGTCGTGTTTGGAATGTTTCTGGTCTTGATATAGTTTCTGTGGTTGGGGGATCTTTTGTGGAGTGGTTTCAGAATGCAATGTCTGTGCTAACGTTGGATAATCTAATTAAATTTGTTGCAGTCTTATATCATCTATGGAGTGTGCGGAACTCTGCGGTTTGGGAGGGGTGTATGAAGCCGCCGAAAAGCACGTGGAATTATGCCAAAGCAAGCCTTGCGGCCTGGGCAGTAGCACTGCCGCGGGAACCAGAGACAGCACAGCAGCAACATTCCAACGCCATGCAGCAACATTCCAACGCCATGCAGCAGCTTCCCAGTATGGTGCACGGTCCAGTGTGCTACGTCGATGCGGCATGGAGCTCCCTATCACAGACGACATCTTATGGGGCGGTATTAATGGATGGGACCGGAATTTTTGTGGCGGCAACAAGGGGACAACTTCTGTTTTGTGAAAATGCTATCACAACGGAGGCTCTAGCATGTAAAGTGGCGTTATCGTGGGTGAGGGAACATAATGTGATGGAGGCTACTATGTTCACGGATTGTTCGGTCTTGCAATCCTATCTTTCTAGAGTTGGCTCACTACCTAGATCATATCTTGGAATTGTGGTACATGAGTGTCAAGTGGTTATGGCACAATTTATTTCATGTCAAATTAGATTTATTCCTAGACGTTTAAATACTATCGCTCATACTTTAGCTACAATGGTCACTGATCAGGATACCACTATGTTTTGGGACGAGATTCCTCCTGATGTTATTATTCCACATTTACAGTAATGAAAAATCGCAACTTTGCTTTCAAAATAATAATAATAATAATAATAATAATAATTATTATTATTATTATTATTATTAGGAGATTTAGGGCTCAAGATGAGTGGTGGTCCAACAAAAATATGGTGGATACAAAAAGGCTTGGTCCAAACATGAGCTATTTTCTACATTGGAGGGAAACCCAACCCAACAAATTATATCTGCACATTATTTTACTATTAATCCAATTAGAGCCGTCAAAACGGGTCCAACTCGCTGGGTTGAGCCCGTTTAACCCATGTTTTTTACTAGGGATGTCAATGGGGCGGGGGGGACATACCCCCCATCCCCATCCCCGACTTTCTTCCCGTTCCCCGTCCCCGTCCCCATCCCCGTCGGGGAAGGAAAAGATCCCCGCGTCCCCATCCCCACGGGGATTATTTGGGGATGGAGAATCCCCACCCCGTTTATAAGTTATAAAAAAAATTAAAAATTAAACATTAAAAAATATTTAAATAAATAACGCATATATATTCATCTCCAACTTAAAGTAGTATTCAATATTTTAGAATTAAACATGCTATCTAAATATACTACAATGACAAGAATGCTTCTAAAATTATATATATTATATACAAAGTAATACATATTTGTGTGTTGTGTGGCCATACATACATATACCGGGGACAGGGCGGGGCGAGGAGAGTACTCCCCATCCCTGCCCCTGTCCTTGGCGGGGAATTCAAAGTTGCCCCCATCCCCATCCCCGATTCCCTATTTTTGTCCCCATCCCCATCCCCGTAGGGGCGGGGAATCGGGTTCCCCGTCGGGTACGGGTACAATTGACATCCCTATTTTTGACAGGTTGGGTAGAGGATTTTTCAACCCGACCCATCTAACCTGCGGGCCAACCATAACCCACTTTTCTCCCCACCCCAAATTTTTTAAAAATATATTTTGTATAATTGAAGTTTGAATTAATGTTTATAAAATTAATGTTTACTACAAAAATCAAACTCATAACCACTTAATCATCTTAACATTATAGAAACCACCTATGCTAATGACACTTTGTGAACATTTTTGTATTCTTATTGATTTATTTAACCACCCCCCCCCCCCCCCCCCCACACACACACACAAACATATATAACTTTTTTTTTTGAAAACCAAAGGAGCATTATTTTAAAGCAAGCGCGTAATACAACCAGGAGGGATAGACTCCCACACACCAAGGACAGAGGTTGAACCAAACGCCCGAGCTAACGCATGAGCCACATGATTCGCTGACATTTTGACATGGTGAACCAAAATGTTGCGAATGTCACAAGCAATCACATGACATTGCTTAATAATCATACCTACATATGACAGGTCTTGTTTTACAAAATTAAAACTAGAACATAAATTAAGACAATCAGTTTCAATAAAAAAACAAGTTTTATGGTCGACTCTTGACCTAGGAAAGAGCTTCATTGAATGCCAAAGCTTTCGCAAGATACGGGTCACAGACACCTTCTAATCTTCCACCATAGGCTGTTACGATCGTATCCTCATGGTTGCGAATCACAGAACCAAAAGCCGCACCATGGTCATGCACAGTGACGGAGAGATAGGGGGGCAGCTGCCCCCCCCCCCCTGCGCGCCAAAAATTATACAGCCCTAAAACGACGTCGTTTTGGGGCTTTATTATATATATAATTTTTTTATTTTCCTTATTCTACCTAATACAGATAGATCGTAGGCTTCGCAGCTCTCGCTTCTCTGGTTCTCAATGACTCGTCTCGCTTCTCTCGCTTCTCCGCCTTACCGATCAGTAACGACAGCAAGAACACTGGCGTCCGGCAGGCAGGCGGCGACGACACCGCCTCAGCCCTCGGGCTCTCAGCGCCTCTCGTTTGAGTCGTCTCCTCTCAGAGTCTCAATACTCATGTTTTTATTTTTGCCCTAATTACTCTAATTTTATTTTAAAATCAATTTAATGTATGTGCTTTGATGAATACTTGAATACATGAATTTGTTTATCAATTTAAGAATTACCAATTATAATTTATGAATGTGAGTTGTGAGAAGTTTGCCGGCCGTGAGTTTAGTGAGGGCGTGACTCGTGAGGCAGTAAATGGGTAGAATTTCTATTAGTTTTGAATACATAATTCAATTGATTTATGAATTATGAATTTCTATTAATCTTGAATACATGGTTTAGACTTTTCCTAATTTGGTGAGGTAGTGAATACAGAATACATGAGTTTACAGTTTAGTGTTAAAGTATTCCCTAGTCAATTTAGTGGCAGTGAATACATGAGTTTACTATTTCTATTAGTTTTGAATACATAATTCAATTGATTTATGAATTTCTATTAGTATTGCCCTAATTTTCCTAAATCTTAGTAATATTGTATTTTATTGATTTAGTTATGGAAAAAAATTTCAAAAGAAAATCAAATTTTGGGGATTCATCTAGTCAAAGTAGTCGCGAAGTGTCAAGTACAAGGCCTCGTATTGAAGTTAACATAGATGAACTTGAAGTTGATCCGGGTAAAAGGAAAAATATATATGAATATCATATCAATGATAGAGATATTGTGCGGAGACGATATCTACAAATGGGTCCTTGTCAACCAAAAAATTATGTATTTCCTACTAGAGTGATTACGGGTGCTAATAGAAGATTTAATCCTAAATGGTTTGAAGATCATAGCAATTGGTTGGAGTATAGTGTATCAGAAGATGCAGCATATTGTTTATGTTGTTATCTATTCAAAGATGAAAGTAGTGGACAACAAGCTGGGGGAGAATCATTTGTCACAGAAGGATTCAACAATTGGAAAAAAGGACCGGAAAAGTTGCGTGGACATGTTGGTATTCATAATAGTGTTCACAGGGAACGTACAAGCTTGTCGAGATTTAATCACTCAAGAGTAACACTTACAAGTTTGTGTATCAAAACACTCGGAGCAATCGAAATAAGACTACCGTGTTCGATTGACTTCATCAGTTAAATGCATCCGGTTACTTTTAAGGGAAGGACTTGCTTTTCGTGGAAATGATGAACGTTACGACTCTCTTAATCGGGAAATCTTCCTTGAAGTCTTAAAATTTCTTGTAGATAATAGTGAAGATGTTGCCAAAGTAGTGATGCGAAATGCACCAGAAAATCACCAAATGACTTCTCCTTGCATTCAAAAAGATATAGTTAATGCAATTGCAAGTGAGACAACTGAAATGATAATCAATGATCTTGGTGGAAAATTATTTGGAATAATAGTTGATGATTCAAGAGATATATCAGCGAAAGAGCATATGATTGTGTTTATTCGGTATGTGGATTCGAGTGGGCATATTATTGAGCGTCTTCTTGGAATTACTCATGTTCGTTATACAACATCTATGTCTCTTAAAGTAGCAATTGAAGATCTTCTAACAAGGTATAGATTAAGCATTTCAAGAATACGAGGCCAAGGCTATGATGGAGCAAGTAATATGCGAGGTGAGTTCAATGGTCTTCGGAATTTGATTATGAATGAGAATCCAAGTGCTTTTTATGTTCATTGTTTTGCTCATCAACTACAACTAGAACTTGTGGGTGTTGCAAAGAAAAATGAGGATGTTGGAGATTTTTTTGTCACTATCTCACAATTGTGCAATATTGTATGTGTTTCATGTAAGTGAAGGGATAGCTTACGAGACAAACAATTACAGATGTTGATTGATTCAATTTCTGTTGATACAATTAAAACAGGAATTAGTTTGAATCAAGAAGTAGTTTTACAACGTCATGGTGATACACATCGGGGATCTCATCATGGTGCACTTGTGAGCATTCTGAAATTATTTTCTCTAGTGATTGATGTTCTTGACGAATTAAGGCAAGATCCAAACCAAAGGCTAGAAGCATTTAGAGTATTGAAGAATGTCCTATGTTTTGATTTTGTATTCTTTTTGCACTTAATGAAGGATGTTTTAGCAATTACCAATGACTTGTCACAGGCATTACAAAAGAAAGATCAAAACATTGTGAATGCCATGAAACTAGTTGATGTCTCAAAACAAAGATTGCAAATGATGAGAGATGATGGGTGGGAAGCTCTTTTAAAAGAAGTTTCACTATTTTGCAACAAGCATGCAATTCTCATACCTAATATGGATGAAGTTTATGTAGTTCCTGGAAGACCTTGCCGTAATTTTGAAGAAAGGACTCATCTTCATAGATACTGTGTTGAAAAGTTTTATGTGGTCTTAGATCTACAACTCCAAGAGCTAAACAACCGTTTCAATGAGAAGAATACAGAGTTGCTCTTATGTGTGGCATGTTTTGATCCAAGGAATTCAATTTCTATGTTTGATAAAGATAAGTTAATTCGATTGGCACAGTTCTATTCAAATGATTTTTCTGATATTGAACTTGAATTACTTAGATAACCAACTACAGACTTATTTTGTTGATGAATGTTACAGGTTCAGAATCGATTGAGTTTGCGGTTAGGTACAACAATAGAGTCCTATAGTAATAGTTAACATAATATTCTCCTATACAATAGGCTAGGCAAAGTCAACTAAACTACCACCACATGTCTATAAGTATATACTATATTATTATTATTATTATTATTATTATTATTATTATTATTATTATTATTATTATTATTATTATTATTATTAACCATGGTTGCAGTAGGCGCTAGGCGCTAGTCGGGCGGCCGGGCAGCGCCTAGGCGGCGCTAGGCGGGCACCAAAAAAATTAAAAAAAAAAAAGTAACAGACTTGTAGTTCGACAATTTTAATGAGGTTGTTTTCAACGTTCACTCAAATAACACATCTAAATAAATGAAATAATGATAATTTATAAGTAACAATGTCATAATAATATTAAAATCAATAATTAATGAAAGACGACATCGGTCAAAATCGAACAAAATCGGTCAAAATCGGTCAAAAACGGTCAAAATCGGACGAAATCGGTCGACTCGGCCGAGTTGGCCGAGTTTGGCCGCCCAGGCCGCCTAGGCGGCTGGCCGAGTTTT